CGCCAACTGCTGCTTACAAAGGTCACACTGAAGGACTGTGTGGCTTCATGGATAACAATGCCACTAACGATTTCATGGGAACCGACGGAACTCTTTATGATGACGCCGTTCAATTTGCCGAATCATGTAAGCAAAGCTTATCACAAAGTTTGATCTAGATGTTTCCCCAATATTTTTAGTTGAAAAATTTATTGGCATTGAAAATTTTCTTAAAATACAACAAAATTTTAAGGTAAATACATATTAGTATCCTCGTCTTTTAGGTCTGTGCAGTAGGTTACAGACCAGAACGGAAAAATAAGTATCTTTAACTTACAGTACGCACTGAATAAACACGTTGTTAACAGGATATTCTTATCTTTATTGTGCGTTTGGTAGGTTAGAGAAGAGTTGCTTGTCAAAAGGGACAGCTGCAGACAATTTTTGAGTGCTAGAAGCAAAATGAGTCATTTTGAAATCATTTCTTTAGTCGTTGGAAAATTCTAGCACGTACTTAAAAGAAAAAAAAAAGGATTTAAGTCCAATTTTTGAAACAAAGACATCAATCTAGGCGGGCCTAGTAACTGAGCGAAGTTGTAGAATGATGCAGGTGGACACCAAAACTTTAAAGAAATTGAAGAATAAGCTGAACGAGGATGTTTTAAATAACAGCAGCTGCGTTATCCGATGTAACCTTGCTCTGGTTTTTTAACTACGAAAAATGGGGTAGTCTTCGGCTGGCAAAATTAGACAATACCCTGATAATCTCTTTGTTTCCAGTATGATAAGCAATGTACATAATGACGAACTGTATCAACCTACATACCGATGAAACTGTTTCTTTCATTTAAAAGGGAGGATCACAGATTGTCACGATGGCTCAGGCACGAAGGACTCTTGGTCATGGAAGTCATCAAACTTCTATCACGATGACATAATGGACATAACGTACACAGATCCCACATACATACCTATGTATTCACTAGACGGAATTTCTCAGTCTCTACTACAGGTTAATAAACTCATGTGCATAAATCAAAGCCATAACTTAGATCTGTTATGTGATTGGTCATTTAGCAACACCATCTGAGCAATAATAGGACTATGTTGCTGCATTGCTTTTATTTGGACAGTGTGATTGGTTAGTCTATACCTTATGCATGTGTTATTGGACAGAACGCTTCAATTCCTCATTTTTCACTTGAGTGATCACGGACCAAATTGGATTCCGCGCGGTTCATCTGCCATTATTGAAAAAGGGGAAACTCGACTGCAACAAAAATAAAAAAAAAAATAAACCCTGCTTCTTTGAACAACCCTGTGGCATACAATCTGATCGCTGTTATGAAGAACGCACATAAAAATGCAAAACAAAACAAAAAGCAGAAATTAGAAACAAAACCATCACGTCTGGCCACGATTTAAAAAAAATGTAGTGAGTCTCCTTTAGCTTGGTGTCCTTTTCTTTACCTTAATTGAGCATCCAGGCGCTTGTTTAAAGACTTAAGATGATTGAGATAAACTTCTTAATTTGAGATAAGATTTACTATGACTCTTTTTTGTTATTCATCTTCAACGTAGATTGCAACAAGCATGTGCCAATCTTTAAACATTTCTGATAACGATTTACAAAGCTGCATATTCGATGTCGCCATTACCAATGACACGACATTTACTGATCAGGAAACTTTTAAACGAGGTAAGCTTTATTAACGAGTTTTTGTAAAGATGATTTCCAAGTTCGTTTTTCTATAAAGAGTAAAGGACATTTGGTGTTTCAATTTATATCAAAATGTTACTCCTTACCATCCAAAAATACAAATATTAGATGAAAACTACTTTGAGGATATTGTCATTGATAAAAAGTTGTATTAAACATAACAACCTGAAAGTTTAAGAGTACGCAATAGGAAATTTTCAAAGTAACAGTATATAAAGGCTGGAGCGCTAACTTGTTGGCCTCAACATGCTTACGAGATCTGATTCTTTAAAGCTAATATTTCAAATGGCTTTTAATAATTCATTCAAGAAATTGGATTTCTCTGTTTAAGGCTGTCCAGACCAATGCTCAGGTAAAGGGAGATGTATCAATGGAACATGTAAATGTATCGAAGGTTGGACTGGGAAGAGTTGTGACAAAGGTATTGGTTATTTTCAGCTTGAATCCTAACAACAGGTGTTAAATAGACAAAGCGGACGCCTGGAACTCTCTGCTAGAATTCTTTAGTAAATTTTATTTCACTGTATTCTGTATAAGACATACTATTATACCCAATATAAAGGCTCGCTTAACTTTGTTGTGCGTGTGTGTTTTCTGCTTCGTTTTTGTGTTGTTGAGACTTTTTCTGTTTTCGGAGCTTCTCAGCTAGTTCAATTTTCATTCTGAATTTTAACATAGCACAATTGGGTTTTTCAATGTTGCCATCTGGCATCTTCACAAAAAAACCGTACCTCTTCGACCCTAATGTTGTCATCGTAATTTTCTTTTCCTCAGGCTCTTGTCTGAACTGTTCAACCATCCATGGCGAGTGTGTTAAAGGATTTTGTGTCTGTGACCTGGGCTGGGAAGGACGAAGCTGTGAACTGGAAGGTTATGCCGTTCATGGTCATCTTCTAAATAAAATAGAGTATATTCATTTTGTTCGAAGATTTCCTTATATTGACACTAGGGAACTCTTTTAAGCTGCTAAATGGATGTTCTCAAAGACATTATGAATGAGCTTGTTTGAGATTGTTTGAGCAGGCTGGATTTTCTCTTTTCCTCAGGAAAAGTTGATCTAATTTTGCAACTGGCATCGAGTTTGAAACGATTGAAAAAGAAAGAAGGGCGCTTGCTTCTAGAGGTCGAGATCTGATTTCATTTGCCGAAAGTAGTGCCCTTTGTGATGATTTTTCAACGACGCGCCTTTATATCACACCAAAATACTAACGTTTATAAATTATTGTGATCTACAGCCACTTGCTTTGGAGTTAACAACTGCACTAGCCCTGAACACGGCAGTTGTAAAACGACAGATGTTTGCCAGTGTAATCCCGGCTATATAGGTCAGTTACATGGATCTTCTTGTTGCTGTTTGTTGTTGATGTTATTATAAACGCAAGCTAAATTACTTTAAAACAAAAAGATCAATGGTAACCAGTGATATTGTAAGTTCTCGGTCAGCGGAGATCAACGAATGAGAAGGCGTGAAAAATCGGTGGGGGTCTGCGGAGGAGTGTTTCATTTCAGTTGTTGTAATCGTGAAAACCAAAAAGACTGAAGATGGATCGGTGGCAGCTTGCACCTTGGCCCGTGGTTGGTGGAGAGCGAAGGCGAACTATTAGTCACAGTGGACGAGCGGAGGGGATAATTAGGGCGTAATTTATTTAAGAGATTATAGTGTAGCAAGTTAAAAAGTAGACAGGTGATGGCTTTTTTTATAATCAGCCATACCAAGAAAAGATGAGATTGATCAATTATTCAATCAATGCACTTTTGCTTTTAATTGTTCTCAGCAGAAATCTTAATCTAAAGTTCGTACTTTACATAGCTGCCTTGTGCTTATAAAAATACTATCAGCCCGTTATATCGCCCGAAACAATTCTTGTTCTTAAAACAGGTGCATTTCTCGTATTTCCAGGTACTAACTGCAGTATTGTTCCTACTTGTTACGATGTATCAAACTGTTCTGGCAATGGAATCTGTGTGGATTTCGATGTATGCAAATGTAATACGGGATGGACTGGAAGCAATTGTGCTCAATACTCTTGCGAACGATTGAATTATTGTTCTGGTGAGTTATCTCGGGAAATCATATTCATAGTCTACGAAGAGATGTATTCTCGACTATCCTTCCTTCCCTCATTGCTTCTTTTTGTTTGTCCTTTATAACGTTCTCCTGGTCCTATGCTAGTATTAATGTTTTCTTGTCCTTTCTCTCCCCCTTGCTGTTGATAAGAACACGGTAGCTGCGTGGCATTTGACAAATGCACCTGTGATTATGGCTGGACCGGAGTAAGCTGCGCCCTTCCTGACTGTGAAGCTGTCAATCAATGTTCAAATAAAGGAGAGTGCATTTCCAGCGACAAGTGTCGCTGCCTTCCGGGGTTTATTGGAGCGGATTGCGGTCAGATGGCGGACTGTAGTCATCTTGCAAACTGCAGTGGCCAAGGCGTTTGCGTTTCCACCGAGATGCTGAATGTGTCTTGCAGTTGCTATCTAGGTTTTACTGGAGAGAACTGCAGTCAGCCAACTTGCACAACCGTGAATAATTGTTCTGCCCATGGTGCGTGCGTGGAAGCCGAGTTCTGTAAATGTGACTTTGGATACATTGGAACTGACTGCAGTAACTTTTCTTGTGAGGCTGTCAACTATTGCTCCGGCAAGTGCATTGGTTTAAAATTGTTTTGTTAATAATCTTTTCCTAAGTCGCAACTCTTGTGGACACATCATACTAGCGAGGAGAACATTATTATTGTTAACAAAAAATGACATATCATTTCCCTTCCAGTGTCTGAGAAAAATGGTTACAGAGAGTTTCAATGTCTTTGAGTGGTCGAAATTGTGGGGTACTTTCATGTAGAGGTGCTTTACTCACAACGATCCGAGCTCACAATCCTGTCTCTATGATAAAGATCTTGACGTTCTCCCCGACAACTTTCATTCCCGAATTATTTGTAGCTGTAGCTTCTATAACAAAGCGATACGGTAAGACAAGGCTGACAAACGATGTTCTTTTTTTTTCGCTGCAGGAAATGGAAAATGTGTTGGTTACGACCTCTGCCTTTGCAATTCCTCCTGGTCGGGTCGCGCATGCAGTGTTCCTGATTGCAGTGCTGTAAAAAATTGTTCTGGCCAAGGAGATTGTATACTACCCAACGTTTGTTCTTGTTATCCAGCTTTTGATGGCGAATACTGCGACCAGAAGGCAAAACCAAACATCAATCCTCCAAGATTTAACCAAACATTTTATAACGCGGCCATTATGGAAAATTCTCCTGTAGGAACAGTGATTTTACAAGTAAAAGCCAACGATACAGATTTAGGAAGAAACGGTCAGATATTTTATGCCATACTTGGTGATGATAACGTAGAAAGTATTCTTACCGTTGGTGGACAATCTGGAAAAGTTTACAACGCAAAGACGCTGGATTTTGAGACAATCGAGATGAAATCATTCAACGTGACCATGGTTGCTGCAGATAATGGATATCCACAGAAATCTGGAATCGCCACCGTACAGATAACAATAGTGGATGAAAATGACAATTGTCCAACCTTCATCGAGCCACCAGGAGATCTAAAACTAGAATTCCTTACACTCATTCCCGGAGATACCGTAACCAAAGTTTCTGCAATTGACTTGGATAGTGGAGTAAACAGCGACATAACTTATAGCCTATCCAAAAATGACGCGTTCTCTATTGATAACAAAACTGGTGTGGTTACTGTGGTGTCCGACTTGACAGAGAAAGTTCATCGTCTCATTGTTAGTGCAAGTGACAACGGGGACGTTTCTTGCATAACAGACATCAGTTTGACAGTTGAAATCGGCGTCTCCCCAACAACAAAGCCCCGCACTACACCTACCACTCCCTTCACGAACAGGAAACCTGAAACCTCCAGTACATCTACCATTCCTGAGACCACGGCGTTCACAGGTCAGTTTGTTTCCATTTGTAGATGACGAGAACATTATCAAAGCGCTTTTATTGGCTGAATAGTTAAATGACAACCTCAAACCAAAGAAAATAATTGATCAAAGTGGTTACAAGGGTGATGAACTAATATGGAGCGAAGATGAACAAACGACAATATTCATCCAATTAAAAATGAAAACCTTGAAAAATTTACGTTAAACTTTTCGTAATGCACGAACCACGATTTAATCTCTTTAACAATTAGAAATAACTATTTTACATTTCAAGATGCACAAAACACGATTTGACCTCATTAACAAACAGAATTAACTATTTTACATTTATCACTGAAATTAAAGATGGGGTCAACTCGCTTACCGATTCGATTTTGCAATTGAATTAGTACTGGAGAAACCTTCAAAAGATCATGGAGAGATTGAAAAGAGTTAACGTAAACGTTATGTACATTTAAAGTGCAAACAAGTTACCAATTGTTATAACAAATTCAGAAAGTGTTTAACTATTTTAACATCATTTGTATTACAAAAAGGTAGTAACAATTCATTAATGAATAAAATAAACCGTGGTATGGAAACCCGCACCTCGCATGCTTGACGTAAACAGATCCGAATCCTTCATCAAGCGGATAAGTAAAAAGAATGAAGTAGCCGGAATTCATTCATTTCTTTGTCGTTCGAGTCCAAGTTTGAAAAATATTCTTTATTCTTTCTTTTTGGACGAAGGAGCGACCACTTCGCATGTACCAACGGAGGCAGGCGCGGATCCCCAGGAAGGTCCAAATTATGCAATAATTGGTGGGTCTGCAGCTGGAGGAGTACTGCTTCTTTTGATTGCAGTAGTGGTGATCAGAAAATGTCTTTGCAGAAACAGCACATCTTCAGAAACTACGGGGAGATGGAATGCTGGTATGGATTTTGAGATGTCTTTGAGGAAGTGAGAACATTTTATATCTGATGACAGGTTTCAAAATGAAAGTTTGCCTTAGAGAGAAAAAATCTGAGATAACTTCTTGGGTTACCTGTGGTCTCAGTCCTTTACTCGTATACACAGTAGTAAAGAGAAGCTTTTTTTTATACAAGCGGAGTTGATAGAATTAGTATCAATATCAGTCAGTGACAAACAAAACATAAGCGTTGCAACGTTAGTGGTATCAAGAGATTACAACTCTCACTTAAACCTAGTATATCGCTGTTATATAGTGATTATCAGTAGTAACGGAAGTAGCAGTGGTAATACCGGTAACAGTAGAAGTGATATGACTTTCATATATTCTTAACCGCCAGTAGAAGTGATTGTAGCGATGTAAGAAGCAGTATGCTGTAGGAGTGGTGTTAACAGGGGCAGTAGCAGAAGGCCATCAACTAACCTAACTATACATCTATATCTCAGTTAGAGATGGTTACTGGTGACATATCTCTAGTTTTCCATATATCATAGGTGAATAATTTTAGGAACGAAGAGTAGACATATTAAGTTTAATTTTCTATCTGATTTTGAATGTGAGATAAGTTTGAATAAAAGCATGGATGGTTGCTAATTTCGTTGTACAGTAGTCGTTCAAAGTAAAACAAAGTACAGGCAACTTACTTCCAGGGGTCTCCTGCCTTCCCATTAAGGGGTAAAGGCCTGTGTGTAAAGATGACTGTTGGGTGTCAGTTGGAGCTCAAGGGCGTAGCAAGGGCGTAGCAAGGGTGTCCTGGGTAGCCGGTGACTCCCTCCTTGCACTCCCTACTCCCTACACTGCTAGCGCTGAAAATCTTACCCACTGATATCATCGCAAGGTTTAGCACAAGAGAGACAAAGAGAACAATAGAACTAACACGATATTAAAGTACATCAGATCATAGTTGAATTCATTCATGTTTCACCTTAGTTCTTATGATCATAGTATATCTTTTCACATAATCATGACATAATTAGTCTTTATAATAAAGCTCGGAATATAAAGACCCCAAAAAAACAGGAGTATAATTGGCAAGAGTAGACACAAAGCAACCGAGTTTTACGGCACGCTTCATTCATAATACACTCGCCTTGAACAGTTTGTTTTCTACTTGTAATGTGAAATAACTTGCGTATTTTTGTGAGCCGCGATTGGGCCGAATTTCACTGAACATTTCACTTTTAGATCCTGTATTAGAAACTAAAAAACTTCAGGCAAAAGTGTTAAATTCGACATGCCGAGCTATTTTAGTTTGTAAACTATTGCAGAATATGAACTTTGATGGTTTGACATTTTTGACAGCTTTAGTCTTGTACAGCCAATCAGATTATTTGAACCATTCTAACAGGAATTCCGATTGCCTTATTGTAGCGTGCTTTATGAGAGTATAGAGCATGCTGACGACACTGTTGTTCGCTTTGGAAATAAGGGTTGTTTTGAAAATTGAAAGTAATTCTTGGGGAATTTAACGGATTCTTTATTATAAAACAAATAGAGAAGCCTTGACTATGCTCTGTTCTGTTATAAAGCACTTAGGAAGCGGCTAGAGCACTAAAGAAGTAGGGAGAAACACTCGACTACGTCTCGTGTTTCCCCCTACACTTCTTTCGTGCTCTAGCCGCTTCCTGCGTGCTTTACAACAGAACAGAGCACAGTCAAGGCTTCTCTATTTGTTAAATGGTGCAATTAAGCCTGTCTATTTGAAAGTTGCTCTACTGTATTTATGACAAAACCATGAAATGTGCATGTTCTTTATGATATCTACATCATAACTTAAGTTGATAAAAAGGAGAAAATCTAGTGAAACTCTGCATGCGTTTAACAAGTTCGGTATTTTGGGAAAACAACCTTTTTATGATGTAACAAGAGTTTCCCATGATAAAACGACGCAAATGGAAGTAAAATTGCCAATAAGTACCGCTCCATGATTCAAAAGTAGCACAAAAATGAATTAAAGCGATTTTTTATCAGTTAATTAACCCTCTAACTCCCATTAGTGATTAACGTTGAGCTTATCCATACGTACACTTATAATAAATAAAAAATGATAATAAGATTTAGGATAATGACAATGACTGGTGATGACATGGCAACAATAATGATAATGATGTAGTGACAATGATAATGGTAAAGATGATGATGATGATGATGATGATGATGTGAACAGTGGTAACAATAGCCATTATTTCGGAATAATTACCTGTGTGTATCGAACTCAACTCTTGTTTGTTCATTATTCTAGTAGTGAGCATGAGATTTCCCTGTGGTAAATGTATCAATCTGATTCATTTACCTTCAGTCGCTTATTTTGTTGCCACCATGTTTGTTGCTGTCTGTCTAATATAAAGATTTAGCCAAGCCTAAAAGCGGAGCTCTTGTTAGTTTATTTTCCAGCCCTTCATTCTAGTAAAACTATAATAAAATTCTTCAGCCTTGGCTGTTGAAGAGTTCTTTTAATGGGATGTAGGGACCACTCCGGGGGGTGGGGTGGAGAGGGGGCAAACATTGACGAGGTATGGAACCTGGGGACGATGTTCTGGCTTTCTGGCTGGAAACAATGGCGTCTTTTTGAGATTTTTTCTGTCATTTAATTCGGTAACCTCTGCTGTAACTGGATGTAATGTAAGAGTCTTTATGCCGATTGTCCATGATCTTTGCAACTTGAGCTACTGAAACACGAAATTAATCAAACATGTTTCTTACGCCGCGAACAATCGATTTAAGGAAGACATGCTAGAAATAGAATATCATAATAAAATTGATGACAAAGAGAGACTTAGGATTCAACCATGAAGACATTTGTAGAAAACTTGAGATAATACCTCGATTTCATTTCTACATCACAGAAATTAATTCCAAACATCAATCAAGTTTTCTCTTTAGTTTAAAAGTACAGAAAGTTGAAGCAGGTGAGTCTATATAACCTGACTTCCTTTGCTTGGAATTGTGTTATTATAGAATTTTGCTGTGTAAGCAACCACATTGTAACATGTAATATTATTTAGATTGCATTAAATAGTCTTGCCCAAGCTTTCAATAATGGATGGTGTTTCTTACCAATGCTCATACCCAACATAAACATTGACATAAGGAATTGGGCATAAGCTTAATGTGAGCACATAATGCACAAAGCAAGAATAGAAATAGAAATGGTAAACAGTTACAACTAATACAAAGTTGAAAGTTTGAAAGCTAAAAGATACGTATTAAAATCATCAAACCTTATGCATCTTGGCAAAATAGGGTAAATTACCACCACAAGTTCTCCCAACATTCATGCATACACAAAGACATTTTTGAGAAGAGAATATTTGAAAAGCTACTGTATTACAGAATGAAGGACTTTATTGACAAAAATAAGTTAATACATTCCTCACAGTATGGCTTCCGTAAGGCACACTTCCCAGATCATGCGATCCTTGATATTGTCGAAACGTTACAGAACAATATGGATAAGCATTATTTCTCGTGTGGTGTTTTATTGACCTAAAAAAGGCTTTTGACACCGTCAATCACAAAATGCTATTTGATAAACTTAATTTTTATGGTTTTCGAGGGATTATCAACGAGTGGTTCCAGTCGCACTCAACAAATCGAACGCAAACAACTCAAATTGGATCGCACGTATCAACTAAACTAATTTCTCCCTATGTTGTGTTATCACTAAAATAAGTAAGACCATAGGAATGATTGCTAAGCTGAGACACTTTGTTCTATCATCTGTACTCACAAATATTTATAAATCCTTAAGTTTACCTTATTTAACATATAGACTCGTTGCTTGGGGTAATGCGTCAAAAAAATATCTGAACAAAATTGTTGTTCTCCAAAAGCGAGTATTACGTCTAATCTACTTTGTTGATAGAAAAGAACATGCAATCCCCTTATTTGTAAATGCGAAAATTCTGCCTATTACCTTCTTATATTATGAAGCTGTATGTAAATTAATGTTTGATGTTCATAACGACAGTGCACCTTCTAACATCACGAAACTTTTTACGAGAACTTCAAACATCCATACATATAATACTCACTCATCAACGTCACAATTCTTCAGCGTTAAGTACTCTAGGCTTAAAAGGGAAAAAAAAAGCCTTTTCGAGTGTTAGTTTCAAAGTCTGGAATGAAATACCTAATGAATACAAAAATTTGTCAAAGAAATCCTTCAAAAAAGAAACAAAAAGAGCTCTTCTCAATATTCTAGAAACTGAAGATTCTTATATGGAGCCTGATGAGATAATGCTAAAATTCAAACACAGCAAAATTGAATCAAATTAAACCAGTTCTACAATATTTTTCGTACACTTAGAAACGCTAGGACTTTTTCTCCTTTACAATGAACATCTGCCATTTTCCTTTTTTTCTTTTTTTTTTGCGTATCTTTTTGTCCTGTTATATTATATTTCTTCATTTCCGTTTTATTTCCATTGTAATTAAATTAAGTCAGTAGAAAATAAATAAATAAATAAATAAAATTGACCCGCCTCGATTGGCATTTGCTATCCGCGGGTCAAAGGAATATCTTGTAATATGTAAGAAAATGAAAAACAAAATAAATAAAAGTGTGATAAAAAAGAGTAAAAAGTGTGATGAGAACTCTGGTCCACTTTTCGGTCCACAGTCAAGCTTCGTTAGTAAGATCGAAGAAAGAAGAAAATAAGAAGAAGAAGTAAGAAACGAAGAAAATAGAAACCAGCAAGTCTGGGTTTGGATAAAATTTGGCCACACATGTTGGCCAATTTACTGCTTAAAACTTGCATAAGATATAAATAATTTCTACGTTTCTACCATTTTTTATCAGCTAAGCTCTACCAAAGGTGAGAGAATATAAGTGATGAGGAGAAAAAGATGCCCATACCCAATACATATAAAATTTAACAAATGGAAAATTGTAAGGGGAGGATCCAACTGCTCTTGCTTGGTGTGTTAGATTCGGAGACAAGAAGGATGAATTCGCGAAACGTCGCACTATGTCATTATAATGATTCCTAAAGGCTCAGTAGTTTCCATCAAACTCGTGAATCTTATCCAAAGAACCCCCTATTGTCATTAAGTCGCCAGATAATCTTGTAATAGTCTTGTAACTGCTTCTCAATCAGTTTTGGAATTTACCCTGGCCCC